AAGTGCTGGGATTACAGGCTTGAGCCACCGCGCCCGGCCTTGCCTAGGGCTTTTCAAAAGTACTTGATGCCTTTTCCTGGAATGGCCTTGTGTCTGTTTCTTCATATGAGTAACCTTATTCATTTTAGTATCACATTTCCTTTAGTCAAATAAGTTCATGCATGCATACAGTGTAGCACAGTGCCTGATAGTTAGTAAGCCCTCAAGTATTTAGTGATGGTGGTGGTACCACCGACTAAAATAACAGAGTGTGTTCTCATTTTATTTTCAGAAAGCTTTTGAACTTTTCAACAAATACTGCTAGAAGAACTGAACAGCCACATACAAAAGAGTGAAGTTGGGCACTATCTCATATCATATACAAAAATTAACTCAAAATGTATTAAAGACCTAAATGTAAAAGCTAAAACCTAAATGTAAAACTCTTAGAAGAGAATGTGAATGTAAATCCTTGTAACCTTAGCAATGCTGTTTTGGATACAACACCTAAATCACAAGCAACCAAAGAAAAAAAATAATTTGGACTTAATCAAGATTAACATATTTTGTGTTTCAAAGAAAGTGAAAAGACAGATCAGAGAATGGGAGAAAATATTTGCACATGTATCTGTTAAAGGACTTGTATTCAGAAGACAACCCAATTGACAATGGGCAAAGGATTTAAATAGATATTTCTTCAAGCAGATGTACAAATGGGCCATAAGCACATGAAAAAGCTCAGCATCATTAGTTGTTAGGGAAATTCAGATCAAAATGATAATGAAATATCATTGCATACTACTAGGATGGCTAAAATTTAAAAAAAGACAATAACAAGGGTTGGAATGTAGAGAAATTGGAGCCCATATGTATCGCTGGTAGGGTTGTAGGATGGTTCAGCGACTTTGGAAAACAGTTTGATGGTTCCTCCAAAAATTAAACATGGAGTTACCATTTGACCCATCAATTCCATTCCTGTGTATTTGTCAAAGGAAAAGAGCATGTTCACACAAAAATGTGTACATGAATGCTTATAGCTGCATTATTCATCATTGCCAAAACGTGATAGTAGATTATTGCTAATTATACCCTTTGAAATTGAGAAATTCTTATAAATTATTATTATGTTTTTAAGAGACAGGGTCTTACTCTCACCCAGGCTTGAGTGCAGTGTCATGACCTCCCTCCTATCTCAGTCTCCTGAGTAGCTGGGGCTACAGGCACGTGCCACTACACCCATCTAATTTGTATTTTTTGTAGAGACAGGGTTTCACCATTTTTCCCAGGCTGGTCTTGAACTCCTCGGCTCAAGTGATCCATCTGCCTCGGCCTCCCACAGTGCTGGGTCTAGAGACATGAATCACCATACCTACCCTTAAATATTTTAAAATAAATGTTTTACAGAAATTCTACTTGTAAGCAGATTAGGTGTGGTATGTAGACAAATTTTCTTGAAGTCAGGAGTATCATTAACATCCATTAACACTCTTTGTTTTTGAGACAGAGTCTCACTCTGTCACCCAGGCTGGAGTGCAGTGGCACGATCTTGGCTCACTGCATTCTCTGCCTCCCAGATTTCAGCAAATTCTCCTGCCTCAGCCTCCTGAGTAGCTGGGATTACAGGTGCGTGTCACTACACCCGGCTAATTTTTGTATTTTTAGTAGAGATGGGATTTCACCATCTTGGCCAGGCTGGTCTTGAGCTCCCGACCCTGTGATCTACCTGCCTCGGCCTCCCAAAGTTCTGGGATTGCAGGCGTGAGCCGCTGTGCCCAGCCAGTATGCTCTTTCTATTGGCAAACAGAGCAGATGTAATTTTGCCCTGGGCTTAGCTGCTTCATATGTATGAAAGGTCATACATTGGAAGTTTGTAATAAGGACTGTCAGTTTTTATTTCTGCCTTTGTTGTTTATAAAACTACTCTGAAGAGCCTCTGATTTGAATAGTAAGAGAATGGATTATTTTATACTTCAAAAAGCCTTAACTGGATGAATGCAGTGGCTCATACCTGTAATCCCAGCACTTTGGGAGGCCGAGGAGAGCGGATCACTTGAGGTCAGGAGTTCAAGACCAGCTTGTGGCCAACATGGTGAAACCCTGGCTCTACTAAAAATAGAAAAATTCGTGTGGCGATGTGCACTTGTAATCCCAGCTACTCGGGGCTGACGCAGGAGAATCACTTGAACCCAGGAGGTTGAGGTTACAGTGAGCTGAGATTGTGCCACTGCACTCCA